CATTTTAAAGCCAATACAATATTCTTTAAAATATTGATGTTTGAATTTTGGAAAAGTTAAAATGCAAGAGCTATTTTATTTATAAGGTAAAAAAGTTTTTTTTTATATGTTTTAGATCTGAAAAATAAAATTTATATATAAAATTGAGCTGCATATATATTTATATTTCTTTTATTAATTATTTCTAAATTTTATATCATTATAAAGCCAATATAATATTTTTTAAAATAACAATATTTGAACCTTGGGAAGGTTAAAATAAAAGAGCTGTTTTAATCTTAAAACTCAGTATTCATTTTTTATATATAATTTACTATGTAATAGTGAATTGGACGATACTTTCTGACGTGATTGTACAATCATTGAAGATGAAATGCTAGATACATACCAGTAGATACTTGATAGTATTTTTACTGAAACTGGTATTTCTTTACGAATTATTATTTTTTTAATTTAAATCCTTCTCTAATTCGTTTGATTAAGAATATTTTTTCTAATGCTTATCATCTGATATGTATATTTCATATAGACCTAAACCTTCAGAAAAAACTTAAGAGAAAGTTAGGCAGTCAGTTTGAGGAATTCTATTATAAGTTTTATGTATGCCAGAATTCCTTTGCAAAAAATTATTTGAACTTCGCTAGAATCAACTAATTGAACAATATCATACAATGGCCAAATATCTATCTGACACTTTTTATAATACTAAAGATTCGTAGGCAGTACCTTAGATCCGTAAAAAAATCACAGCTGGTGCACAAATTGAAGCATATAGCAAATTGAGTCAATAAATAGGCATATTCATAATAAAGTAGATTATTCTACTTCATTATGTAATCTATTGATTAGTATTACTAACTATGTTAAAAATAATGAAGCAAAGCTCACAAATGAATCAATCTATATGTTATTATTGTTATGATATTAATCAAATTACAAAATGGCATCATTTGATAGAAATAAGATTATTTGGAGTTACTTACAAAATGAGTAGAATACAAGTTCGCAAATTTTTTTTGATTCATATCTTAGTACATCTTGAATTCAATTATTAAATTCGTATTTTTGATTATATATGAAAGCTGATAATAAAGAAATAAATATAGAAATTAGGGAACAAGAGCAGAACATAAAGCAAATTTTTTTACGATCATTGGTGTCAAATTTACTAATGAAAGTAATTCTTGAAATATAGAACGTACAAGTAACTGGCACATATAGAATTAGGCATTATGTAATTTTACTTAATAATGGTATGCAAGGACCCCGCTTACTTCTAATAGAGGTCTCGAAAAATATAAGATAAAATTTATATTAAAAAAAATTTTAGGTTTCTTAATAGATGAAGGTAAAATTATATATATAACAAATAAAGGTCTCCGGATATGTAAGGTAAAGTTAAAATAGGTTTCCAGTTTTATAAGGTAAAATCAAATATAAGTTTACAAATGTTTCAGACTTTCAGTAAATAATAAGATAAAATTGTATATAAAATTTAATATTTACCTTATATATACTAATTTGAAATATTGTATAACAATTATTACAATATTTGGTAATATACGTTTTATAATTTTTTCTCAAAATAAAAAAATTTATTCTCTTCTTTATACTGGTAAAAACCATTTTATATTTTTAATTTTATTTGCATTAGCACTATCTTTTTAAAAATTATTACAAAAATTAGCTTTTAAAATATAAAAATTCGTACAGCAATTAGCAACTTCAGAATTTAATTTCAGTACTTTGGTTAAATCAAATCATATTTTACTATCTAAGAAAGTTGTTTAATAAGGTCGAACTACTTATATTTGAATTTTTATAGCAGTTAGAGTAATATTTATTAAATACGAGCATTTTTATTTTAATATTAACTTAAAATTTATGTTTTTTATTTATTAAATTCAGAGCATAATTTGGGCATTTTAGTCAAATGAAATCACCTTTTTAAGCTTAAGTAATATTGTTCGGCGAAGTCGAAACTACCTGAATATTAATTTTTTTTAAGAATAAGTTTAATATTTATAGAATACGAGCAATTTTTGCACTTTTAATTTATTTTATTTTTTTGATCAGTGATTTTAGGGCGTAATTTGGGCACTTTGGTCAAATGAAAATCACTTTTTCATGCTTAAGTAAAGTTGTTCAGCAAGGTCAAAAATATTTAGATAAATATTTTCATAGCAGTTGGATTAATACTTATGGGGTATAAGTATTTTTTCATAATAATACCAATTACAAATTTATTTTTTTTTAAAAAAAATTAATTAGATTTTTTTAAAAAAAGTAAGTGAATAATAGTTTTGAAATAAAGTTAAAGATGTATGTATGTCTTTAAGATTTTTTTATAGTATTTTTGTAATTCAAAGTACTTTTTTTACTAATAAAAGTTATTTATCTTTAAAGAATAAGAATTAAACTTGTAAAAATAAAAAATTTTTAAAATTTATTGTAATTATTATAAATATTTTGTTTATTTAATATTTAAAAAATTTAGGTTTCTGAAAATCTAAGGTAAAATTTAATATAATTTTAAAAGGTCACTATATATATATGGTAAAATTATGAAATAAGAAAGGTTGGTAAATTTACTAGTAAATCTGAAATTTTGCCTGGAGACCTTTATTAGAAATAAGTGGAATCCTAATATGCATTTATGTACCTGTCTTTTATTGTTTAATAAAGGGTTAGTATTTTCCATGTTGGTACCTGCTCTAGATTTACAGCCTTTCATATAAATATAATCCCAAATCAATGGTACTTGAATTCCGATGTTGAACTAAACGATCTTCTGCAACAATATTCTTTTATTTCAGTATATGATAAGATACAATTGAAAGATAACATATTTTTTGAAAATTATATCACCTTTCAACTCTTTTTTTCCATTTGGATTAATTCATATGGTTCACTATCACTTTATTCATCCCAATCATCCCAATCATCTGTAAGATCACTTAAAACTATATATGCAGAATTATCCAGATTATCAAAGAAGGCCATCGATTGTGCTATAAAAACTGAAATGCAGGAAAAATTGTCAAATCTTTTTAAGGCCTTTATCTATGATATATAAAGTAGGCTGAAGGGAAACTTAATTGATATTAATAATTTGGTAATTATCAAGCATAAAGGACGACCGCCAAAAAGGCTTGTAGCAAATGTTAAAAAAGATGTATTACATAGGGAAAAGAAAGTTTTAAAAGATAGTAGTGATGTTAATATAATAAAAAGTCAGAGTAAAAGTAACTTAAAGAACTTAACAAATATTACAAAAGGGCGAAAATGTAAAAAATGTAATACATACTGTGAAAGTGGAGGTTTGAGGACTGAAGATCTGACCTTTACTGAAATATTGTGTATGTGGGTCACAGAATATTAAAAACAATATCAATTTTTTCTTATATATTAGAAAAGCTTCTATTAGCTCTAAAATCTTAATTTTGATATTATATTTTAAAGTTCTGTGTGGGTTCTCCATCTTTAGAAAGCATATCGATTTTTATTAATATATTAAAAATGCTTCTAATGGCTCTAGAATCTTAATTTCTATATCAACTTTTCAGTTATATTTATTAAATCTAACAAAAATTATTATATCAGAAATTGATTTTGCACGTGTTAGCTCTTTAAATTGCATATTAATTACTTAAGTCTAACCAAAATAAATCTAACAGTTTTTATCCTAACTTTTCCTTAATCAAGTATTGCTTCTACAAGAGTTTACGCATTAATTAGTATATTGAAAAAATTATGTGACCTTTTAAATTTAACGAATTTTTCTATAGACAAGAATAACTTCTATACAAAAAAGCCAGCTCATTAAATTGCATAATTTTTAAATAAATCTAATGAAGTTTTTGTCCCAACTTTTTCTAAGTCAATAATGTGTTCAGGACAGGCCTGATCACTAAATAGCATATCTAATATTTAAAAAAAGTCTATATCAAGAACTACTTCTAAGCGAGCTAATTCTTTGAAAAAAGTATATTAATCTTTAAGTCTAACGAAAAAATTTTAAGTCAAATGATTGTTCTATATTCTCCATTAATAAATCTAACAAAAATTGTGAATAAAGAACTGGTTTTGAATAGGCTAGCTTTATAACTAGTATGTTTTATATAAAAGTCTAACGAAAATAACTCCTGTAAAAATCCTGAAAAATTCACAGAATTGTCCCAACTTTTCCTTAGTCAAGAATAGGTTCAGCATAGGCTAGCTTATCAAATAGCATAAAACTTTAACGAAAAAATATAAAAAACAAGTCTAACAAAAATTTAGCAAATGCCTATTGGATATTGCACCTAAAATTTAAGTTAACCAAAATAATTTTCATTTATTCTGGTTGGCAACTAACGCAATAATCTCCTTCTCCCATTTTTATCAGAATGAGGCATTTCCTATAAAAAGAAATATTAAGATTTGTAAGCGTATTTCTATAGGTAACCATTATTTTCTCATAACTTTTTTCTTATATCTCTGATCAAAATCTATCATAGAATTTGCTAGTATAGGATTGGCCAATATAAGTTCTTTTTCGTCGAAGTCTATCATAGTATCGGATAATATAATAACCACTAATATATAGTAGACATCGTCCACAAGCAGAGGCTGTAGGAGGACCCCAAACAATATATAAATAGGTTAGATTTATATTTGCATAACGGTCATAAGAAATTTTACCCCCATGTGAGATTTTTATTTGCTTAACCAATAGTTAAATTTTAAATTGGTCAGATTTCTAGATGCGTAACAAAATATGAATTTAACTAAACTCGGTTATGAGTTTGCGTAGCAAATACCTAATCTGGCAATTATCATATTTTATATATATTAAATAATAAAAATAGTATAAAAAAATGTTTCTTCGTTTCTTTATGCATATTATCTTTGTCTTTGCATATTATCATTATCTATACATATTCTTTACACATTATCGTTATCATCTTTGCATATTTGTTATCTTTTATTTTCATATACACACATTTTTTATGCACATTATGGGTGGCTGGAAATACTCAAAACAACGTTTACAAAGACATCCATTTGTTGCTAAAGTTGTACGTGCTAAAAAGGTAATCTGCATATGTGGAGTTGTAATAAAACTTAATAGGAAATATGACGAAGATTACATTAACCACCATGCAAATGGTCCAGGATGTAAACGAAATGAACAAAAAAGTATTTTATGCTTTTTTAATCCTACAACAACTGATAAAAAAGATGACGATGATGTAAATTCAGATGATGATTGGAATGATTGGAAAAGTGAGGTAGAAGATGCAATGGATGATAACGATATTATTACAGTAGATGAAAATGAGGATGGAATTAATGAAAAAGAAAATGCTAATATAGAGATTATTAATCCAGCAACTAATCAAACTGGTAGAAAAAGAAAGCCATGTTTAGGATTGCGTTCAGATTTGATTGCAAAATATGTTGATAGAACACCTGCATGTTATGGTGGAGCTCGTCGTGTTGAAATAATTGCTAAGGAAATATATCCTGGAAAATTTCCTCATAAGTTTACAAGAAAAAAACTTAAGCCATTTCAGAAACGTGCATTAAATCGAAAAATTTATGCAGAATCTCAATGGCGTGTCGATAAAGATTGTAAATATTTATTTACGTTATTTTTTTATTCTAATTGATCAATTAATGAAAATCTTTTCCAAATATTGTTAATAGGCATTGCTGTACGCGCTAAAGAATGCACAGGATATTCCGATTCTGGAAAAACGATTTGTAATGAATGTTATTTACTAAAATACAATCCTATATTGGCACATCGTCTTACTATACCAAAACCGGCACCTGAAAATCTTAAATTTACACCAAAATTCTATTTTGAAAATAATTCTTTAAAAAAACATTTGCAAAATCAGGATCTTCATGAAATTTGGTCTGTTATTAAGGACAATTATGATACAAGTATATGGATTACATTAGCAGATAAAGCAACCAATGGTGCATTTAAAGAAAAACCTGTGTTTACAGGACTCT